AGAGAGAGAGAATTACTCAACTGAGAGAGAGAGAGAGAATTACTCAACTTAGCTACCAAGGGTAGAAAGGAAGAGAATAATATTTGTGTGGGGGTGGGGGATGGGGTGAGCTTCTGATGAACCCAAGACAGTTCATTTAGCAGACAGAGCAGCCAACACTCTTGCTGTCAGAGGGCAACCTTGGTTCTAAAAACCAGCATTGGTAGCATCGGTTATCAGACTGGTGAGACGAGCAGTTACAACCTTGCAACACAGAGAACCAAAGTCATGTTGACTTCACAGTCACACAGTTCACATCCACAATGTGACAAATAGATGAATGACAGCCAGTGCAGTACGGCCTTCCTGTACCCCAAGACCTGCAGCAGGTTACAGGGGGCAAAAAATCTCACAGGCTGTGTTAGTCCAGGTGCAGACCATAATCAAAATTCAGTAAAGAACCTGAGTAAAGAAATAAATTCATAGGCATTCATATGTGCATAAGAGATTTATATACAAGAGCAATTGGATAATGAGAAAACATCCCAGCCCAGGCCAGATCAAGTCCCTAAGTCCAAAATTAGCTCAAATGTCTGAAACCAATCTGTAAATTCCTCTTCAGACTCAAGCAACACATGCAATGATGCTGAGTGCAGGAAGATCACAGACCAGTGGGTGCAAAGTCTTGTGGATCCAGTAGTGGTGTAGGCATCTCAGTGCTAGCGTGGGTCTCCACATGGCTCCTCAGGCTCCATGGCTCCGGCTGCCATCAGTGTGGCTCCATGTGTCTTGTCAGGAGAGTTCCTCAGGGCGTGTGTGCCCCGCCTCTAGCTAGCTACTTATCTCCTTGGTGCCTCCAAATGAGATCATCAAGCTGCAACCTGATTAACAGGCTAAACTCCACCCCTTCACCCTTAAGTCTCACATTTACAACAGATTATGTAACTCCCAGAGACTATTCGGGAAGCAATGAAAGTTAGATACCAGCCTGTCCACTCCTCTGTTTTATAGTCAAGGCTCAAAGACGTAGAAATCATTGGCCCAAGGCCAAAGAGGCTCCAAAACTCAGGTCACTGACCTCAGGGGAAGAAGCATTAGGAATTACCTTCCCAAAAGTTGAATGAGTAGCGCTTGGTCAACAGAGACCCACTCAAACAATACAAGTGTCATATACTAAGGTACCTGGGCCTGACAAGAGAGAGAGAAGCACAAAAATAATCAGTCTTCCTCAATCTTTCAAAGACAAAGAAAACCTATGAGAGATCCGAGTCTTAATATAACCAGCCAATTTTTCTTGCTTTTCTTTTTTTAACTGTTTTTTTTTTCTTTAATCATTTTATTGGGGGCTCTTACAGCCCTTATCACCATACATACATACATAAATACATTGTGTCAAGCACATTTGTATATAGGTTGCCATCCTCATTTTCAAAACATTTTCTTTCTACTTGAGCCCTTGGTATCAGTTCGTTTCCCCCCTGCCCCACCCTCCCTCCCTCATAAACCCTTGATAATTTATGAATTATTATTTTAATCATGTCTTACACTGACCGCTGTCTCACATCATCCACTTTTCTGTAGTCCGTCCCCCTGGAAGGGGGTTATATGTCAATCGTTGTGATTGGTTCTGCCTTTCTCCCCTCACTTTCCCCTTACCCTCCTGGTATCGCTACTTGCATTATTGGTCCTGAGAGGGTTATCTGTCCTGGATTCCCTGTTTCCAGCTCTTAGCTGTACCAGTATACATGCTCTGGTCTAGTCAGATTTGCAAGGTAGAATTGGGGTCATGATAATGGGGGTGGGGGGGTGAAGCGTTAAAGAACTAGAGGAAAGTTGTATGTTTTGTAGGAGCTATACTGCATCCTGACTGATTCGTCTGTCTCTTCCTTGTGACCCTCCCGTGAGTGGATGTCCAGTTGCCTACAGATGGGCCTTGGGTCCCCACTCGGCACTCCCCCTCATTCACAATGACACGATTTTTTGTTCTTTGATGCCTGATACCTGATCCCTTCGACACCTCAGGATCACACAGGCTGGTGTGCTTCTTCCATGTGGGCTTGTTTGCTTCTCAGCTAGATGGCCACTTGGTTATCTTCAAGCCTCTAAGACCCCAGATGCTATATCTTTTGATAGCTGGGCACCATCAGCTTTCTTCACCACATTTGCTTATGCACCCATTTTGTGTGATCATGTCAGGAAGGTGAGCATCACAGAATGCCGGGTTATTAGAACAAAGTATTCTGCATTGAGGGAGTACTTGAGTAGAGATCCAATATCCGTCTGCTACCTTAAAGCTTAACATATAAATATATATATACAAATACATCTATTTTCCTATTGTCACATATAAATATACCTACATAAGTACATGCCTATATTTAGATCTCTATAAATGTCTTTGCCTCCTAGTTCTTTTCTCTATTTCCTTTTACTTTCCTCTGGTCCCACTATCGTGTTCAACCTTCATTCGGCTTCCAGTTAATTCCTCTCAGTTACATTGCACTTGATCAAACCCCACCAGGCATCCTATGCCCTCCTTGCCATTGGTTTTAGATCACTTGTTGTTCCCTTGGGCCTGGGCTTGTTGACACCCCCTTCCTTTCCCCTGCCTCACCCTCTCCTGTGCCCCTGGCCCCCAACCATCGGCCCTGTTGTTTTCTCCTCTAGGTTGTTTATACCGCCTATCTTATCTAGATAGACATGCAAAAAACAAAAATAAGCACAAAAACAAAACAATAACAAAACCAACACCACCACCAATAAAAAACCCAACAACAAAGAAGAACAGCCTATAAATAGTTCCAGGTCTGTTAGTTGACCTTTATGAGTGTTTTCCAGTCAAGTCTGATGGGGTGCCACCCCCTGGCCCCAAAGTCTATTTTTGGTATTCTGCGGGAACTTCATTTCTTTGCTCCCCTTGTTGCTCGGATGCATGCCCTTATTTTTCTTGCTTTTCTTTCCATTCTACTTAGTAAGCACAGCATTTTACATTCTAATAACTACTGTCACAACAGGATTAAAAAACTGAAACAGCAAGGCCAGACTGGGTGGATTAGCCTAGTTATATATATACTCCCAAAGGATACATGAAAACCCAACATTTTAAAAATGTTGCCAGAGTAGGAAGCAAATCAAATAATCCATATTTTTACTTTAACTTTCTCTCTTTCCTCTCCAATTCATTCTCTCCTCAGCAGCCAGTATGTTCTTACCTAAGTAAATCTGATGAAGCCATTTCCCTAGTTAAAATCCTTCAGTAAGTCCCTTCTCTTTCACCACCACCACCAATGCCCTAAATGGCCTGCTCCCTGCTCCCACACTGGCCCCAGTCTTCACTCTTACCACGAATACACTGCACTCACTCCACAGTCCCACTAATGAGGTCTCACCACAGGACTGCACTGCTGCTCCCTAAGCATCAGACACTGTCTCTATTTTAATAATCTTATTGCCACAGGACACTTTCCCCCAGACAATCCTTCTCTAACTAGTGTTATCTACCTTCACAGCATCAGGCAGCCCTCCTGTAGTACACTAACTGACGTTAAAATTTACAATTATGTATGTGAATCTTTGATTTGCACCCTATAATCAAGCATAAGCCCCTACACCTGTCCCCTACAGGGTGGCAACCATGTCTGTTTGTTCACCATTGTATCTCTTATCACTTAGTCCATAAATAGAAAACTGCACAAACAAATGAGACTTAAATGGTGGGCTTTTAAGAAAACAGAGCATTGAGGGACTAAGAGAAAGTTAAACTAAACCCTTCTTAGCCCAAGCTTTGAGTACTTCAGGCAGATGAGTCAATTCTCAGAGCAACCCTATAGGACAGAGTAAAAAGCTTTATCTATTTACAAAAAGAAACAGGAAAAAGAAATGCCTTCCACAAAATGCCAAGAAAATAGAACAGTACTAAGCAGTACATCTATAAGCCTTTTAATGAATAAATAAAAGCTATTCATTTTAGGATCAACTCAAGAACAAATATCTTAGCAATGGAGCAGGTCCTTAATCTTCAATAGGATCACCATCGCTCACCAAAAAAGTTACATATTTCTCTATCCATATTCTTTATTACAGTAAGTTAAAAGCCCTAGACTATCATTTCTCAAAAGAATTAACATGGAAATCACAAATGCAAATCAAGTATCATTGTAAAAATTTTAGCCACATTAAAAAAGGTAAAAAGAAACAAATGAAGTTAATTTTAATATATAAAGTATATGACACTTAACATCCACTATTTGTTCTTTGAAACTGGTGGTAATGTGATTTGTAAGAACATATTATATATATACATGTTTGTATATACTCCACACACATAAATCAAAGTAACATTGTACCCCTGACCACCCTAGTCCCAAGCAGCTCTGGTTCTAAAGACCTAGAGCCCCATGGTTTGCAAACTTGCATCTGTACTTGGCTGCCACTGGGCACATGACACTTTCCAAGCAGCCCCAGAGAATCACAAGTCCTGAGAGACTGGGTAGAAGGGCCATGGCCCAGTGTTTCTCAGGGACACAGACTGTAGAGGACTGCACACAGGAATGCACCGTGCAACCCTGAGAGGTGAGCTTCGGACGCAGTGCCACCTCTGCCTCCTGGCACCTTTCCCAGAAAGCTCCGTCCTGTGCCATGAATGCATATGCAGCCAGTTGTTGCCCGAACATTTTGTGGCATATACAAACATTTTTATTTAACTGAAAATATCCAAAGGTGTACTTTGAAATGGAACCAGTATTTTTAAACTTATTGATACATCTTTTATCTCATTCAGATTAGCCACATTTCAAGTTTACTTAGTAGCTACCTGTAAACTAGTAGTTACCAAATTGGACAAAATAGGCCACTCTTCAACCAACCTGATTAATTATTTGTGGTCTTCCTGCCTTTAAAAATATTATAGAAAAGGCTTTCAATGTCCTCTATTTCAAACAAAATAGCTATTGGGGGTGCATTCACTATAAATAAAAAGCGATAAAGAGAGCCGTAGTTACAGTACATGGATGTAATGATACCTTCTTAATTCGTTCATGACTTTAAAAGCTTTCTTCATATGCCAAGGATTCACTGTCAATGGGCAGTGTTTTTCAGTATTATCATCTTTTGAATCGAGAGGCTTCTGATGACCCTGCTTTGTGCATCTGTACATAAAAAAACAAAAAGCAGAAAAACCAATCTTATTAGAAATATTATTGTTCAGGCTTATCATACCACAAGAGGTACAATGACAGTGCTTACCCTGCACACTTAGGGTATATGCCAGTATAAAATTAAGATCCCATTTGTAACATTCTGATAGTCCCTGTGGCTTCAACAACAAAAATTCCTGGGCAATAACTTCCCTTGTGTTGAAGATGAGCTCAGAAGATTCCGTCAGAATAATTTTGCAGATACCTCCCAATACAGATGGTGAAACAATCTTTTCATCTAAAAATTAATTTTATTTTAAAGCCTGTCATACATCATTTACAAAGCAAGACAAGTGCAAGATCACATTCTGTACAAACTTCAAAAGGTCAGAATCTGGTTTGAATTCTGCTCTCTACCTGCAAGAATATTTACATTCATGTATTTTACATCTAAGAAGCCATAATGGTGCAAAGGTTAAGATATTGGTGCTCAGCCCTGTGATCCAAGGATTGCACATAGTAAGATCCAAGATTCGGGAAGGTAACTGTATTAGGGCTTAAATTCTGAGCACCTGGCATATGTTTGCAGCATCCCTACATGGATTATACCGCCATTGAATGCCCTCAACCACTGACTAGGGATGTGAATAGTCTTGTTCTTTGAGAGAGTACATTGGAAAGTGGATTACTGCAGATACAGTTAGGTTAAAATGTAACATCTTATCATTTGTTTTCCTTTTGACCCATTTTTAATTTGTTCTCATTTGTATTGTCTTCTGTGAGTTGAGGTTTTGATGTGTTTTATTTTATCACCAGTGTTGAGGGCTTTTTGTAGTAGAATTTCTTTTTATATGAAATCCTGGACGATTAATCCACAATGATGATAACTATATTAATAGTACCTTGGGGTTAAGGAAGGTACAGTTGTGGGGAATGAGCTGTTAATAATAATGGGGACAAGGATGAAGAAAATGTATGAAAATTGAATGTGGTGATTACTGCACAATTATTTTTTAAATGTATTTAAAATAACTTAATTGCATGATGCATGAATTCTATGTCAATAAAACAGTTAAATTAAAAAAACTGGTAGCAACCGGTATAACTAGAGAATTATTAATTTCCTTAGGCATGATATGGTATATAAATTACCATATATACTCATATATAAGCTGAGTTTTGCATCACATTTTTTTTTCTTCAGCACATTTTTAATGCAGTTTTTGTGGTAAAATTAGGTGCCTCGGCTGATATTCGGGTTGGCTTATATTCGAGTATATACAATACTTGGGATAATGTCTTTTTGCAAGGAATGCATGCTGAAGTATTTAAAGTGAATGTCATGGTCCTGGCAATTTATTATTATTATTATTTTTTTTAACAATCATTTTATTGGGGGCTCTTACAGCTCTTATATAAACCATAATCAATTGTATCAAGCATATTTGTACATATGTTGCCATCACTATTTTATAAACATTTAGTTTCTATTTAAGCCCTTGTTATCAGCTCCTCATCCCCCTCCCTCATTTGATTTTTTAAATCATTTTATTAGGGGCTCATACGACTCTTATCACAACCCATACATACAACAATTGTGTAAAGCACATTTGTTGTGTACTTAGTAGTGGAAATCACTGTGCCACTAATAAATACAGTGTAGTTTACTTCTACAAGAGGGTTTCAAGAAGTTTGTGGAAAAATGGAATCGAAAAGCAATGAAATTTATTCACAAACTTTTTGAAGCCCCCTTGGTTAATTATCAGACAACTCAGTGATCTAATTATTTTTATTATCCTATTAAGCAGATGAGAACATCAAGTTTGGGTCACTTGGTAAACAAAAGAGCTGGAGAAGAGTGTAGCCAATCAAAATCTCAAACTCATTCTTTAAATTGTTGCAGGAATAATACTTCCTATCTTAGCCAGTGGGTATTCAATTTCATACTTAAATTTTGAAATTAAAAATGTTAAGTACACAAATATTATTATTGCCATATGAATTATTCTTTCTAGACACAATCCTCACATAAAGAAAACAATAGAGAAAAGGAGAAAGAGGAAGTTATAGAGATGGATGCAAACCTTCTGAACATTTAACACTGAATCCCCACAGCAAAATAATAATACTTTCTACATTTCTCCCTAGTTTAACAATTTAGAAATGCAAACACATAGTGAAAGATTAGGAATACTATAGAGACCTTCCAATGCTCAGAGTAGAAGCGAAAGTGGCCTAGAAGAATGGTCACTTTTTAAGAATCAAGAATATTTATATTTGCTTAAGCTATTACGAAGTACAATTCTGAGTTGAGGATTAACTTTGAGACAGCAATACCTACACTGGTGCTTCTGTAAAGATATGTTCAGATTTTGCATTTCCTAATACACTCCTTTCTGGGGTAAGGAAAACATAGAATACTGCAAATAAAAGACTTTATTCCAAGGGCTTCAGGAAGTAAAATATTAAAAATATTTAATTAAAAAGAAAAAAAGTACTTTCTGTATAAGAACCATTTACAAATACAAACCCCTGCTGCACAGTTCTATTTTCAATACTAATGCCCTTTCCACAATTTTTCATTTCCTATGTGGCTTTGTGCTAAATGAGTTCACAGTCGGAAGCAGAACTGAGTAACAAAAAAAAAAAGACATACCAGGTCTACCACTATGGACATGAAAAATGTACATGTACTAGTTCTGCAAATTAAAATCACTAGTAACTCCCACAGAATTACTGAGCAGCATCTCTAACTTGGGGAGTGGTTAGTTTTGCCATTCCACTGGGTGTAAGTGAGCCGTATTTTATGAAAGGACAGATCATTATAGGGCATTAAGAAAGAAGAGTTATCAGTGAAGCACGCAGAAGGCCTCTCTGTGAAATAGCCACCAGTGGAGCAAGCACAAGGCCCTGTGTTAAGTGGCCAGAGCCCTGAGTGAAGTCCGGTGACAGCAGAGGCACCAGGGGCTGCAGCACCAAGACCATGAGATAAGAGGAGCAGACATCCCAACCCACGGAAGTGTAAAGTTGAATGCTATCTGGCAGGAGGTGGGCTTGCAAAGTGAGGTGTCTTGTAAGCATTTATGATACTAGAGAAGCCTTGTAACACTGGCCCAAGAAGGACAAAGGCCAAGGGACCACATGGCTCTGAGCAGACTGTATCCTTATAATGCTTTTTGATCCTGACCTCTTACCTTCCCTAATAAACCCCCTGATGATACTGAATATTGTGAGTTCTATGTGGCCATTGCAATGGAATATCGAACCAAGCAGGAAAGTAGAATGCCTTGGGAAGGAGAGTTTGGGTCAGAATAAGATAAAAAAGGTTGGAAGGTAGAAGTACGAAAGATTACCACCCCCCGACCCCACCCACCCCCCAAAAAACAAAATGAATTTTTTGCCCCAAAGCTCTGCATTTAAATATTCTTACAAAACAACCTTATTACCTTCAAAGTATTCTCCATTACACTTAATACATTGGTCAAATCTGCAATTCCATTCTTGGAAACATTTTTCAGACATGTTTGGATGGCTGACAGCACCTCCCTCATTTTTTTCACAATCCAATCATGTCCCTCTTCGTTAGTGGAAACAAAAATAAGTTGCACTGAGCAAAGTCAGGTGGGAAAGGTGCCTGGGGCAAGGGAAGCATGCTGTTTTTTGCCAAAAACTAGCACAATTAAGTTGGCTGTGTAAGCAGGTGTATTGTCGTGATGGCAAAACCAGTCCCCCACCTGCCACAAATCAGGTCTTTTTTGTTGCACACTCTTATGCTTTCTTTTCAGAACCCTAAATAGAAAGTTTGATTAACAGTCTGACCTGGTAGAACGAATTCCAAATGTACTACACATCAACATTTTCGTCTGTTCAGGAAGTTTCTGCACATCCAGAAAGAGCTCTGTCAACAATTGAGAAAAACTTTCAAGGAAACCACTCATATACTTGAGTTTTTCAGAATGATATCAACAATTCATGACGCTTCTCTCTCAAATACAGGAAAGAACAATAGAAAAACTGGAGAGGCTATATTGAAACCTGTGTGTATACACCAATATTATGCCCACATGAAGGGAGTTGATCGTGCAGATAAGTACCTTTCGTATTATCCTATTCTAAGGAAAACCATGAAACGGACAAAAAAAAGTCATCCTCTAACTCATAAACTGTGGACTTTTCAATTGTTATAGAATTTACAATGCCCTGAATCCAGAGAAAAAAAATGAAGTACAGTTTCTCCTTTCAGTGCCACAATACTGGATTACTGACAATGAAAATGAAGGCTCTCCGGAACCAGAGAGATATGTCCAGCCCAACCCCCAATAGAACAGGGAGAGCACCATGTAAAGATGCACCAGGAAGGCTGTCAGGTGACATGAAGCAGCATGAACCTGTGTTCATTTCAAGCAATGGAAAAAAGAAATTTCCTAACAGAGCCTGTAGAGTTTGCACTGCTCATGGAAAAAGAAGTGGAACCAGGTATATTTGCAAATTTTGTAAGGTACCACCTTCACAGAGAAAAATGTTATAAAAAGTACCATACATTAAAAAAGTACTAGGAACCTTTGTTTGTATATAGGTCCTATGCTAACTATGATATACGAAATAATTGTAACTGTTTAGGATAAGGTCTCCACAACTAATCAAACCAAAGGGCTAGGAGATAATTTTTACAGTGTTTCAGGGATAATATTTGCACAGTCTTTGTTTCTCAATGTAGTTGTGTAGTATAGAGTGTAGTACGTTGTATAACAAAGGAACATTAGGGAGTGACCAAGGGCAAGGTAACTGAGAGGAATTACTGAAACCAGAATGAAGGCTGAACATGGTAGTGGGACAGAAGGAAAGCGTAAAGAAATAGAGCAAAGGAGTAGGAGGCAAGGGCATTCACAGAAGCCTAAATTCAGACATCTACATATGTAAATATATTTAAGATTATGGGGGAAATGGACCTAGGTGCATACATTT